GAGTATTTTTTTAACCTTCCCCACAAACATGCCCTAACCTCCTTCTTAGACCATGACCACTAATAGTTTGCACTACTTTTCTCAAATAGTAGACTTCTAAGTAAATCGTGGATAGTCTCAATTCATGTGATTTATTTTATTTTATTATAATTAATTTAAAAAACTTATTAGATTATTAAATTAATTAAAAATATACATTAAATTGTATTTTTTCATGTCAATATGACAAAAAAAAACATACTTCGAAATATTGATTGGAGTTTACATAGTGTGAATACTGAAAAATAAGAAAATAAAAAATATCATATAAATTGATACAAAGAGACAGTAATATAAACCTACTAATTTGACTTGAAAGATATATTCTCTAATAATACTCTGTATTAATTTGTATAAAGATATTGTGTACAATCAGTGAATTTTAACTCGTGATAGTAAACTAGTTACTTCATTCGTCTTAATTTATGTCATGTTATTTGACTTGACACAAGAATCGAAGAATAAGAAATAATATTTTTGATACTTATGATTTAAATTATTTTATGATAAAATAGATATTTAAAGTTAACATTACTCCCCTTCGTTCACAATTAATTGTCATGATTTTCTTTTTTAGAGTCAAACTATAAGAACTTTGACAAACATTCTACGATGTATATTTTAATCATATTGATATGCAAAAAATTACAATTTATAGTATTTTTCATATAGTTTTTGAATATATAACTTTTTTTAAAAATAATATCAAATTACTTAATCTGATTTAACTTTAAAATTAATCAAATTGATTTTCGAAAAGCACAACATGACAAGTAAAAGTGGTTAGATAGAGTACTGATTACTACTTTATTTAACATACCAATTGATTTGTTTAATATTTTTTTAGTATATAAAAACTTAAAACTCATAAAAATAAAATTGTAATCAATTTCAATGAAAAGCTATAATCTTTTGCCTTTATATACTACCCATTATGTCCCTCTTCCTCTTCATTACTCTCACTTTCTTCTTACCTTACCTTAAATAATATTGTCCACATATTTTTTTTCTTTTTCTTTGTTCATTTTTTCAACCTTCTATGGAGTTACTTCTTGATGAATGCTCATGGATTTTTCATGTCTATGGAGAAACAAGTTTGTTATGTACGCGGAGACGGAGGAGGAGGAGGAGGAAAAAGTTATGTAAATAACTCGAAGAATTTTATCGAAACAAGAACAACAAAACAATGCAATTTCGATCTCTTAAGTTTCTAGCTAAAATATTTATTTTAGTAGAATTGAGAGATCGACACTATGCATTGTGGGGAATTGAGGGTAACGGTCCGAGTTTACCTAAGTTTTATTTAAATTAACTTAATTTTAGGTCTTTATTTTTCTTTTGACTTTTCGTCTTGTAAAGACGTTGAGACCATATAACATGTTGTAACGAATCGTTCGATTTCGTTGTATTATTATGTTTTTTTTTTTGCTAATTAATCTTATATAGTATAGTATAATGTAACATGAGAAGATGTAAGAGATGCATACGAGGCAGCTAGCTAGAAATTAGGGAATTAATCTCAGTTTTTTGCTTATTAATCTTATATTAATTTGTAAGGTTTATTAAATGCTGCCAGGCATGCATCACTTACACTTTTTAATAAAAAAAAATTATGTTTTAATTTCCAATCTATTGTTTGAATGAGCTTTTATATTTTTCATCTGGTGTTCGATATTTATATTGTAATTTACTATATAGCATTTTATTGTCTTTACGTGATATTTTATATCTGTATTACGATTCGACTAATTTAAGTTGGGTATGACTTTTTATTATTTATGGTTGAATGATTGATTTGCTTTTTTCATAAAAGTAGAAACGATTGGATATGTTACTATTTCCTTTTTTTTCACTTTTTTCCTTATATAATGGGAAACCAGTGATAGCAGTTTTAGCTATCAATTATTTTTATTTGTTATGTACTTTTCAATAGTGTAATGTAAGTTCATCGTGTGATAGTACAATGTTAAAAATTCGAATCATAAAAATAATTCTTTTGTATTTATATTAAGATCGGTGATTTATTAGTGGGGTGATTTTTGTGAACTCTATAAACACGTGAATATTTTTTGCATATTTTTTTGGAAAACTTACATAAATATATTATGATAAAAAAATATTTATCATTTATCGTAATAAATTTTTTTTTCACTTGATCATTTTTAATTTATTTATAATACAAGTTTAATACATATTACAAAGAACAATTTATTGTTCACACATAACACAAATTTTAATGATGAATAATACATTTATTACACATTTTAATACACTTATAATACAATGTGATAATTTTTTACCAAACAAACATGATACATTTCAAAAAACAATTATAATTCATATATATTATTGCATACGTAATTTACTTTTAATATATATTACAGATTTAACAATCCATTGTTATAAATGGTAAAAACAAAAAAAATCGCTAAAATTAGTAATTATTTTTTAAAATATATTAATATATGTAACTTTTCCTATTTTTTATGGCCGATTATGAAATTTAATCGACGGTAAATGATTATATGTTTATCATGAAAGAAATGAACTCTTGTTGGCCCTTGTTGACAAATATTATTAGCTAGGGATCATTTGTTTCGAGATAGGTTAGTTTGGGATAAGTTATTTTATTATTTATATGTGATAATTTATTTGATCACTAATATATCAATAGTGAGATAAATAATAATAAGAATATTGTCTAATACTTCCGATCAAATGCAGAATAAATAAAACTGCATTTTATTCATTAGATTATTATATCTTATATCTCATACAAAATAACTCCTAAGAAGTATTTATTAGGAGTATGTTTTATTAAATTATCTTTATTGATTTATATTTTTAAAAAATTATGTTGTCTATTATATTATATATAATTACTTATAATAAATATAATATTAGAAAAATAATAATAAATATCTTTAATTGTTAAAATGACATTAAAAAAATATCTAATTTTTAATATAAGGATAACTTTATCTGAATTTAGAATAGCAAAGTGTGGATATTCGGAATTAAAAGTGGAGTACTATTTCAACAAAAAGTAATTTTCACAATAACTTTACTACGTATTTGATTGTTTTTTTTTTTGTCATGTCAAAATAACTTAAAAAATTAATGGGGCTATATATGTAGCGATAATTTAATTCGGCCTCATTTAGATATAGAATTTTTGGTAAAAGTTTTAATTATTAATATTTAATGAAATATATTAAGTGATTGTAATATTTAAAAAAACACTTAAAGGATAACATATGAATGAATAACATTTATATTTAAAAATTCATGTAGTTAGTAATTTTAAGTCTGAATGATAAAAATTATAGTCATTTACTCGATGCATTTTACTCTTTTATATGTTGCTTCTTAATTAGGAATATTTATATAAATGTATTACTTAAAATATCATAATTTTTAAAGTTTCTATCATCTAAAAGAATTACAAAATTTCCTCTCGAGCATATTATATTCTAGATCAATGGAAAATTCAAAAAAATTAATTTGTCATGTATAAAATAATCAAAATTTAAATATATTTCAGACTGTTTTTTCTAATGACGAAGTTATTAGTTATTATGACAACTATTAAATGTTGCGGCTCCAAGGTGTAAGCTGTAAATTCACTTATGTTTTGGGTAGAAGTTCAGCAGTACTACTTGAAACTAGTTGAAGTGATTGGACGATAAGTATTAAAACTCGATTAATTAAAATTTACGTTACGTAAAATTTTATTTAAAAAAGAATATTATTTTTTAAGTATTTTTTTATACTCAAAATTTAAATTTGAGATACATAATCAAAGGAGAGATAATTCATCCACAGAACTACATCCATTATTCTCATAGAGCAGCCAAGAATATAACTTGCACCATCATAGAGTTGAAGCTTTTTTCCTACAAATAAATGCAATTATGTTTATTTACAGCTAGTTAAGTACAACACTATAGTTTTGTTGGAGTGACTTGTGTTTAAAAAGAGATAAAAAAGAATTGCATTGATAAAAATATGTCAAAAGTGAATATTATTTGATCTAATATGTGATAAATATAGAAAAAAAGATCATAGTCAACTATTGAACTAATCAAGGCTAGTAAAATCAAAGATTTGTTTGATCATTTGAAACTCAGATCGTGACTAAGGCATTAATAGTTGATTGACAATAACTTTTTAAAATCAAGAGGTAGTTTATTTCTAATTTACCTCTATTACAATTAACTATAGTTATTTTTCAATGCATATCAAAAGCATTAAATATATTACATTGAAGAGTAAAATACTTATTATATTTATGCCTTCATAATATATGTATCAAAATAATATTGAACGAATAAGAATAAAAATAAATAGATGAATTACTAATTAACTATAGTTAAGTAAAATTACTCTCGCTTGTGTCCTAATTCATATCTATTGATTTAACATAAATATCAATAAATATTTACCTAATATTTGTCACAATCACAAATCTCCAAGTAACAAATCTTGGTTAAATCAAAGAAGAGAATTAATTTTTTCAGTAATTGTATTTGATGTGTCGGCAAAATTGATGTTAATGTGTCCCCAAATCTGAGACATAATTAAGCAGCTCTTGGACTTGATTACCAACATCCTCACAAGAATTTACACTTGATTAGATTTGGTGTTTCAAAAATATTAATTGCTGAATAATAATAATAATCCCATAATATCTTATAGTACCTATCTGCAATTATATATGATAGTATATACGATAATAGTTGGATGATGCAACCAACTTCATTAAATAGGTGTAAATGGCGTGGGTCAGTCAAAATACACACTTAACCTTGTATACAATTAAATAAGTGGACACACGCGACTTATATCATGCGTGTATCATGCATGACATGTTGGGCATGTGCATCTTTTTATTTAACTTTGTACAAGTTTGAGTGTCATACTTATTATTCACACGCAAAATTGAAGAACATGATGTCGGCTGAAACCAAGTTAAAATGCATATTTACGTATTAAATCATTTATAAAAACACAACTAACAAAATCCATATACCAATCCATTTAACATAAAATGGAAATAAAATTCAGAAAAGTTCATAAGACTACTAGTGCAACAAGCCCCAAAAGCATATATAACAAATAACATGAAACAGCTCTCTGATATACAACCATCAATAACAGCACAACAAACACAGTATAATCCCGCAAATGGGGTATGAAGAGGGTAGAATGTACGCATACCTTATCTCTACCTTTAACAGGCAACAACAAACAATAGCTGCAATAACAAAAGAAGTACAACATAGTTTTAAACAGAATATGTATGAGCATGTCAAACAAGAAAACATATTCAAGGGAACATAAATGAGTGATAAAATAACATCAGTATTTGTTTAAGATTGTACCTGCAATCAGATTGGAAATGAACTAAAGGTTGCAGCCTTAATCATTCAGTGCTAAGAAAAGATTTTAACGTCACATTTTTGGCCGTTATCCTCTCTTGTTTCTTTGATAATCCTAGCTGAGTCGGCAACATCTTCACTGCATGATTTTACCTCAATGTATCGCAAACAATTTAGGTCCTGAAAACCATCAGGGATAGCTTTGAGATGTAAGCATCCATGCAAAACCAATTTCTCAAGGCGATCGAAGGATTCCTCAGACACTTCCCATTTCGAGAGTTTGAGATTTTCTAGTTCCAAGAGTTTGAGCTGAGAAAACTCCTGATCTCGTACTTCCCATTCACCCATTTCAAAGGCAACTTGTCGCAGTTTAAGTACCTCAAGGTTGACAAGTTTGGCAATGGTTGAAATTTCCTCAGGTGGCAAAGGAAATTTGCATAATGTCAGTTTCTTGAGATTCTCTGGAAAGTTTAATCTTGAAGGACCAACCTCCGAGATACCAACAAAGACCACTTTTAGCGTTTCAAGTTGAGATAATGAGTCTAATACAGGAAACCGATTTTCATTCTTTCCCCAACGCCCTAAATCAGTAAATACACATCTTAACTTCCGAAGATTGGGTGTTCTTCTTACCATCCTTTCCATATTGTTCACCCTGGAAACATATATTGAGGAAAATGTTTCCAAATTGTCCAGCTTTAAGAAATTTCCACCACAGGATTCCTGTGCACCACGCGAAGCAAACAACGCCCCATCACTAATGCTAACATATCTCAACTTACTCAGCTTCCAAAAAGTATCTGGCAACCATACTTGTCCTCCATTTCTTTTGACTATGAACGTTTGAAGATTCCAAAGATTTTCAATAGATGATGGAATAGAATTCTTAGTAGTTTGAACAGCAAGGTACCTTAGCTGATTAAGTTCAGTGGGAAAAGAATCTACATCAACCACCTCCAAGTCTAACACCCTGAGAAATTTGAAGTTGCCAAAGATGAAAGAAGCATGTCTCATTGATGAACATGCATTATCACTAAGCTCCCTGAATAAGATAGAACGAGCATGTGAACATGATGGCCTCCACTCAGAAAGATCATCCCGATTAGAATAAAAGGATAAACGGCGGTGCATAGGCCTTTCAGAATAAAAACGCGGAGGATTAGAATCACGATCCCTGGAATCAAGAATATAAGTAGGATAAGGAGTAAGAGAAAAAATCCTAATTAATCAAAACTTAGAGAAAAATATAAAGAGGTAATACCTTTTCAGCCACAAAAGGAAATTATCTTCCTTAGCCTTCTCCTTGCAGAAATCGAGCATTAGATCATGCACGCGACATGCTTTGATCTTCCCAGTTGATCTCCTCTTCGATACCATAATGAGGTTTCTTCCAATAAGATCACTCAAGTAATCTTCTGCCGTATCCTCCAAACACTTGTCTTCATTGTTTTTTATGAATTCCTCAGCAATCCATAAGCTTGTTAATTTTGACACTGAAATTTCCCTGTCCTCTAGAAATGCACCAAAATATAAGAAGCATGATTTCAGTTTGTTAGGTAAATCTTCATAACTTAGTTTTACTAAATCCTTTGCGCCATCCTGCACTCTTTCCCCAAAACTTAATTCCATCCGCGTCCAGCATCTTTCTGTCTTGTCAATCTTTGCGAGAAGACCAGCCACTAAAACAATGGAAAGTGGCAGCCCATTACACTTGAACGCAATGTTTTGCCCAACTTCTTTTAGCTCTTCGGGGCACATTTCTTCCCCAAATACCTTTTTTTGTAATAACAACCAACTTTCTGAATCTTTCATACTACGCAAGTTTATGGGTTCAGTGACACATTTAGCATACGTAGCAACTTCTTTAAGTCTGGTCGTCAGAATTATTCTGCTACCTTTTTTGGCCTCAGGAAAGCATAATCTCAAATCGTCCCATGCTTGTACTGCCCACACATCGTCAATGATCAAGAGGTACCTTTTCGGCAATAGAGTTTTTCTGAGTCTATCAGCTAATATATCAGCACCTCTTTTACTAATATCAGTGAGGCCAGAATTAGCAGAACTCAAAATGGAAAACAGCAAGTCCTCACGTGTGTATTCTTGTGAAACACGACACTCTGCAAAGAAATCAAAATGAGAAACAACTATATCATCATTGATGAAACTTCGAGCAAGGGTCGTTTTTCCTGATCCAGCCATACCCACAATGGAAACAACATCCAGTTCTTGTGATCCTCCAACTAGTTGATCTCTTATAGTTTTACAGACATCTGTAAAACCAACCAGTTCTCCGTCGGTAGCATGGGAGGCACTTGTCATATTTTTTTCCTTGGGTTTAGTCAACTCAGTCTTAATGAGCTCAATCTCCCTTATGATTTCCAAGAGCCACATCCTAAGAAAAGTAAGAGGTACATCACTAATTGCAAAAGAATCAAGTATGTACTCAACCTCATAAGCCTTATCAATGACTCTTCCAACAAGATTTTGGAGTTCGTTATGCTTGTTATTGGCTTGTTCTGCTAGACGCATGATGAAAGGCTCGAAAAACTTAAGCTCCTCATGGACTACTTCGATTTGATCCTTCACAGAAGCAAGTGAAGCAGAATGACCAGACAGGAACTCTTTCAAGCTAGCAAGAAGGCAATTGGAAAAGCCCAATTTATCATTCTTAGGCAAATGAGATGTTACCCACTCTCGGATCTTGTGGCAAATCTCTGTTTTGACGGACCGAATCATGCCATAGAGAAGAAGCATTTTTTGGTCCCAATCACCCCCCGAGTAGACAGTAAGTCCAGCATGAATGACCAGTGTCACTAGTCGCTTGAAGAAATGGATCCTCATCTCATCCTGAATGTCGTTAATCAATGGTAACTCTTTGAGCAGAGCTCTCAAACAGTTGATCTGTTCAGTAAAAGTATAATTTTGATCTGAAGTCCATGAATCCGCTCCTAACTGCATGTGTACGTGCAGAAGAAAATCCATGAATTCATCTGCGGCTTTATTGAGGTACAGTTTGACATGAGTGCTGCCGAATGATAATAACTTTAAAATATATTTCAGGAGCTCGTCATCGCAGACTATCTGGCTGCACATCAAGTTATCCTGCATCATATGAGAAAATCTGTCGTAACAAGGCAAGTATAACAAAATTGCTGCACGGGTAGTCACAAGTCTGACATGAAGCCAGAAAGTTTGCCAGCATTTAATTTGTTCTGTTGAAATGCATATTTCTCCCAGAAAGAAGATAAACTTCTTCAGTGCTCTCAACTCCTTTACGACTGATTCCACTTGAGACTGTACATCAGGCAGCTTGACAAGGCGAACAATCAGCAGGTCCTTGAAATTCTGTACAACATTGTCTATGTATGCCAGCATATGTACGTGGTTCAGAGGCGTAGTAACAGGAACTAGACTTTCTTCTGATTCCCAATAATTTATTGGGATGAAGTAATTGAAATGCTCTATCGATCGTAGCACGTAAGAGGGATCAGCATCAAAGTTAGAGCGATAAAGATCTTCTGCAAATACCAAGAGACTTCTAATCCGCACTTGAAGGGATTTACTGCACTCCCAATGCCCCAGGAGAAATCTACCCAGAAACCATAGCTCTGTCTTAATCAACTTGATTTCCTTCCTTTTGTCGTCCGTCAAGTCCTCATGCTCATTTTCTATAGTTTGCAGAATGCTTACCGGATCAGGATCAGGATCCCCTTCATCCAACATACTACTGAATTTGCAAATAATTGAAGATTAGTGTATTGAACTTCTGATAGTCTTCCAAAATGAATGATTCTTTTTAAAATTAAACATACTCACAATAGCTCATGGAAACAATTTCCCATGGAAATGAAAAAATTATCATATTTGAAAAGTTATCAAATAGTCAATAAACAACAGACCTCCATCTACATCAAGCAAGTATCAACCCTCAGAGCAATGCACAAACATACATATTATAAGTACTAATTCGCAAGCGCAAATCACACAACATATATGGATGCCAACAATAGCTACATCAAATGTCAATCAAGTACTAACAAAAATTTAATACCAAACTAAACTGATTACATTGATCAGATCAATCAGTAGTTTACAATGATCCATATAGCAAATAATAAAAAAATAGGCTACTTTCGAGTATTGTCTACTTCATTACTCTACATGGCCAAACTTACTCCTACCTGTATACTATCCGGCCAAATTAACCCCTACATGAAACAAACTATTGAAACTTACAAACTTATTTTCTAAACGAAGTGAACAAAACCTGCTTGAGATGAGTTCGAAGTTTATCGGCGAATCAAAGGTTACAAGACGCCTTCCTTTGTGAGAGGAAGATCAATTTGGATGCATCCATTTCTCTGGAGTTTGAAGATCCTTTTAGAAATTAAAACGTGGAGAACAAAGTCAATGATATGAATCATTGACTTTGTTTCAAATTGCTTAAGTAAATATATATAAATGCCAAAAGAAAAAAAGATTGTTGATCAAATCGTAAAGAATAACATAATTCTTCAAACATTAGGATAAAACAAGTATGTCATTATTGGAAAATAAACTTAATATATAATGAGTAAGCAAAAGAATTAAAATTGATACGATAATGAAAAAAATAAATCATTGCTAAATAATTCTCACCTGGATATGATTGTTACCAGTAATTAAACTTAGATAGCTTCGATGTTTATTTCGTGAAAATATTTGAAAAAATGAAGAAAGTATTATTAGAGATCTGGCCACATTAATATATGGCAATAATTCATTTTTTTTAGAAAAAAAAAATTAATCATTCAGTACTTAATTCTTAAGTCCTTTTTTATTTCATTTCTGAGTCGTATTTTTTTTATTAATTATATTCACAAGTCTTTTTTTATTTAATTAGGAATACATTTATTTATTTCCTCTGCATGTGTTCAGCTTGTCAGCATATAAGCAACTCGATCCAACGACTTTCATATAAAATTTGTGACACTAAATTGTCAAAAGTAATTTTAAATTAAAGATATATAAAAAATATTAAAATATATTTTATGATTTTAAATATTCAAAAAAATAAAATAAAATAAATGAGTAAAATGTTTAGCTAATTTTAACATGCGTTTAACCTAAACAAAAAGTAAAAAAAGAAAAAAGTAAAATGAGTTTATTAGATTTATTATTATTTTGACAATTAATGTTTGGAGTGTGTTTTTTCTCATATATTGAATTTAAGCGTAATATATAAATATGTTTTTAACCTCATTTTATATGTTCAACTTTTTATTTACATAAGTAAATACTTAAGTTTATATGAAGTTGAGCATATAAATACACACATTTTACATGACATCTACATGACAAATTATGTCTACGTAGTGTCCTACATGTTTGTTCACACTCAAAATTAAAAAAAATAAATGTGAAATAAGACTAAAGGACACCATTTTTGCATATGCCTGAAATTTATGTTTTATATTTTGGCTTTTTTTTTTTACGACAAGGGAAACTCGCAGCTGGCTACCCTTTTGGGTGCGTACAGGGTAAAACTCCGGTTCTGTGCAATACCTCGCAAACCACATAGGAGAGTTAACCTGGTGTGACGAGCTCGACCCAGAAGACAATCCCTTGCTTTTGCTGGCAAGAGGTTTCGAACTTGAGACCTCCAACATGGAAGTCCCCAACTCAAACCACGGGGCCACCCCGAAGAGTTATTTTGGCTTATTTATAGTAGATTCGAGTGTTAAATTGTTGATATTTGAATAACAAAAAAACTTTTTCACAAAATAATATCAAACGCATATAACTACGCTTTAAGGTTATTTTTTCATATGCACTTTAAATGTGAATTTTCTACTCCACTTGCGTAAAACAACTTAGTGAGTTTTGAAATTAAATTGATGTATCTATCGACATAAAATTATGTACAAACTAAGCTTAAATCTAATAAAGCATAACTTGTTTTGTCTTGTATAATATAACTTGTGTTATATTATGTTACGTAAAAACATAAATGTTTACCTTGCAAGTTCTTTTTTTCGATATTATTAACTCTGATCATAATATCGAAAGGACAAAAATTAAATACCATCCAAAATAAAAACATTTGTATGAATAACTCAATTTTGAAGCAACAAACATTTAGTGGGCCAAAGGAAAAAAAGTCATAATCAGCCCATGTGAATTGTTATATCACAGCTTATATTTTCTGTTTATTTGGGAGCCACTTATTATCTCCCACTTGCTTCTATCTGGTCCAATTTCAATACTCTAAAAAGAAAAAATTTGAAACAAACAAAGAAGAGGACACAAAACATATTTATAAAAACTTTTGTGTATTTATTCACATTATATTTAAAGAGATATTTTAAATGACACCACAACACAACAGAGCTCACACTCATAATAATTAATGGGATAGTTCCAATCAGATTTCGCTTGCTATTCTCGCATAGATTATTTTTATATGTATATAAAACGAGAGAAATTTGTATGTTCAAGTATAGATATTTTCGTCTTATACACTCATAATTATATAAATACAGATTTTTCATGCCCAGCTTTCTTTTGTCTTTCTCTCTTTTTCGTTTTATATAGAGACAAATTATACAATTGATTCTTTTGTATATGTATACCGAAACAAATTATATAATTGATTCTTTTGTCTATGTATACCGAAATACACACATTTATAGCCATAGTAAACATAAAGATTGTAATGGAACACAATTATACAAACTATAGTTATAACATACAAATATGAATTTTTTGTTTGCTGAATCTAAAATTCATTCTAGAAAGAATATGTTGACTATACATTAACAATAAAAATGATACACGCAAAAATTGAATGTAAATTACTTAAAAATGAACTATAATCTGATTACGTTTATGATACCCTCAAAAGGCTAAATATAACTTTAGTATACATGAATATATATATTAACTATGAATAAAATATATTTTGATTATTCAATTTCAATGGATTCAAAATCTCCTTTCTAACATTTTACATAGTGTAAAATGTGAAATTTGCTCTATACTTTTAGTCTTTTAATATATAATTCATTTAAAATAATTCACGACACAATATTTAAATATAAATTTCTATCTTTTCTTTTTTCCTTTGAAGTTTCTAAGTACTTCCGTTATGAAGGGTCGGATTTTTATCGAAACGGGCAGTATGGAGCTAGAATTTGATCTAAGAGATGTCAAAATATAAAGAAATAAAATCGTGTGGAAGTCAAGGAGTGTTAGTCTGTAATTATAGATATACATAAAAAATATTTTAATTCTAGCTAGACAATGTAATTTTTCGACAAAGGGATATCGATCAACACCCCTTCACTACATGTGGCTCCGCCACTGGAAGCGGGGCAGGGCAATGACAGGGAGGGCGGCTCCACATGATTTAGATTAATTGTTAAAGATACCCTTCGTCTTATTTTTTAAATTTTTTTCTTATAATATTTCTTTTAAGAAAAACTTAATTTTAAAAACCTCAGTTACAAAATATGTCACGTTAAGAGACATTTGGTTATCGTATAAAAGACACCTTATTCAAGTATAAAAATTTGCATTAATTTTATTTGTTTCATAAAAATTTTGTATTAGGTATAAAAGTCAACATAACTTATATCATGCTTGGTTACATTTTTTATAATCCTACATAATTATAAGTTACATGTGTATTAAAAGAATAAATTACATATTTACTTATTAATTTATTTTATTGTTCAATTGAAAACTTTAATATTTTTCTATATATATGTGTTTTTCTTTTTTATATATATAGGTTATTTTTATTTTTTCAATTTATTGCATTTTTAAAAAATTAAAAACTTCATTATTTTCTATCTATTCTTGTTATATAGTAGATCATTTTCATTTCTATTAATATATATAATAATTACAATTTTCATTGATATGTGTAAATATAAATATTAATAAATAATAGAAATTGATTAAATATTTCTCAACGATATATAAGCTAATTAAATATTAACATTATATATTATTTTATATATTTTATATTTATTACATATATTATTATCTTATAAATAATATATATTAATAATTTATAACAAATTTAATATTTCAATAGTTAATAATTCACGTATTATAATCTCTAGATAACTAAACAATAAATACATAAATAATATTCACGTAATTAATACCCACATAATTAAATCACACGATAAAACCTTATACGACTAACACCTACATAACTAAACGTTACATATCTAATACATACATAACTCTAACCAGTAACTAAACATTCCCCCGAAGAAATAGCTCAATGCACTAAAATCTCATAAATCAAATCATAAGGATTTTAGTTGGGTCTATTATACGCAGACTTAGGATATAATTACTCACTAAATTTATTTCCACATCTCGAATCCGTAAAAAATTAAACTTATTGTAAAATAATATTTAATTCCGCCAAAAACTTTTTTTTTTTACGTGAGCAAAAAGAACTTTATATTAAGCTCTTCAAAAACCGGAAATAATTCCTCAAAAACTAATTTCAATTTTTTTTTTTGAAAAAAAAAAACAAAACAAAGAACTCCTGGTGAAATTCATCACTCATTTTCACCAACACACAGATTGTATTAGTTGATCTCCTTCACACCTCGTGATACTTATGCCAATCGTTTATCGAAGTTTTTATGCCTCTCGTTTATCGAAGTTCTGATTCGCATAATTTCACCTCAACGAGAACCACTCAATCACATCCCATGCAACGCGCCGTCGCGTGACCTCCACGCGCTCATCGGAAACGACCGATAACGACGACCGGCAAATCGGACAGTTAAAATTAAACGTATCTAACCATCCATCAAAACACGCCTTATGAAAAACATGCTTACAATCCAATTTCCTCACATTTTCACCATCAATTAATCGATTCAAGCAAAAAACGCAGCTCGAACCAGCAGATTGATCGTCAAATGCATACGAGAACATCCGATTCAAATTAAGCTGTTCAGCCAGCATAACGACTCCGGCTAAACCTGAACCAACCGCATCGTAAATCGCATTTTCTTCGATTTGAATCGGATTTACTGAAACGCCGATGAACTGAAGAAAAGTGAAGATGATCGAACGGAGATTAGCGATGCAATTAGCGAGAAGAGTTACGAGCAAAATAGGAATGGATTCAGTAGAAACATCACTTAATTGATTTTGTAATCCCATTTTTTTTTATCAATGATTTTTATGTTAATAATAAATGGGTTTTGAAGTAGTGTATATATAGGGGGTAGGGGGTAGGGGTATGGGGGTTGTAGGGGGTGGGGGTTACGTGGGAAGGAAAAGAGAAGGACACAATTAGTTTTCAGTGTCATCGCGTATTTTTGCAATTTTCAACTTTACGATACTTGATTATTATTTATTTATTTTTTATTAAAAAACTTATAAATATATTAAACGAATAAGAAGACGAAAGTTATGGATTTTAGAGAACCTATTCATATAAATATAAGTATTTTCGGATGGGAATTTGTAACTAAATGGATGGATGATTTCACGAAGGAAAGGATT